TTACCACAGACAAAAATCCGGAGTCAAGGTGTTAAAGTTCTCAGAAAGCAAACAGTCCAAGGAAGGAGAGTTTCATGGTTTGTATAAGTGCTAGAGTGGACAAACAGGAAACAGGGCAGTATCTTACTTCACGGAGCTCGAAACACTCAGTTCTGGGCTTTCTCATTCTCTTCATAAAGAGCTACCAGCCTCTCTTTTACTCAGGGGAACAAAATATTTGTTAGATTTAAAAAATTCTATTGAGGGCTGGGTGCAGTGGATCTTGCCTGTAATCCCAGCACTTTGGGAGGCCAAGGAGGGTGGATCACGAGGTCAGGAGATCGAGACCATCTTGGCCAACATGGTAAAACCTCGTCTCTACTAAAATACAAAAAATTAGCCAGGGGTGGTGGCGAGCACCTGTAGTCCCAGCTACTCGGGAGGTTGAGGCAGGAGAATCGCTTGAACCCGAGAGGCGGAGGTTCCAGTGAGCCAAGATCGTGCCACTGCACTCCAGCCTGGCGAGAAAGCAAGACTGTGTCTCAAATTTCCAAAAAAAAAAAAAAAAATCTATTGAATGGCATGAGTCACCCTTGATGAGTCCCCTCTCTGGTGGAAGACAAGCAGAATTTGCCCTAAGTCTGCCTTCCTCTGACTGGGGCCACACTGCATAAACTGGGGTTTGAGGACCTCAAAGACTAAAGGGCTTTTCTTTCACCCCACAAGCTGGGGAGAGAGCAAAGGGTTGACATGGGACTTAGAGGAGCAATGACTTCCTTCTCAGGATTTGTAAGCAGACAGTTTCTCCTGATCTTTCCCCAGATCTCTTCTTGTATTTATAAATCGAAGGCATGGCAAAAAAACAAAGTTAGAAGCCTCTCCACCAGCAGACAGGGCCCAGAGAATAAGGTTATCAGGGTGAGAGGAAGAAGGGGGAAGGCAGGACTTCAGTAGCCACCCAGCTTACCCCTACCGTAGGTTTACCTTCCACAGTGGCCCCACCCTCCCCAGAAAGCACTGGACAGGGCTCCTAAGAGACAGTCTCCTCCCCTTCCTCCCTGGAAAGGGACAGAAATAGTAGCACTATTGGGAAGATTTAACATAAAATGCAGGGCCTGTTCCTTGGTGACTTGTTCAAAGCAAGTCCTCCATCAACATGAGCCATCCACATTATTAGGAGGCAAAGAACACGATCTACCCAAGCAAATGCAACAACGCGTGCAGATGCTCTGCTTGAGAGCTGTGGGGGCAGAAAGACATGAAGAGCAAGTGTCAATACCACCGAGGAGGAGACGAGAATGCAAAGATAAGGTGCCCGCTGGTGTGGAAAGGGCATTAGGTGTCTGTGAGAGGACAGAAGGAGGCAGCAAGGAAGGTGAACAGCCAGAGGGGCAACAGATACAAAGACATGCAGCCATGAATCAGCCTGGGACATCTGGGAAATTGCACCAGGTCTGCATGTCAGGACTAGAGGGTACGAAGACGGCTACACCAAAATACAGCTGCAAAGACAGGCAGAGGAGAGAGTGTGCGTGTTATTGGTCTTACTGAGTGTGGGAAGCCATCCAGGCTAACCCAGGGAGAAGAGCCGTGGGGTCAGCTCTGGGTTTAGCAAGCTGACTCTGGTAGCAGTGCGTAAGAGACAAGGAGCAAATGAGAGGTCGTCTGCGGCGACTGTGGGTAGGAGTTTACTGGAATGTATTATGAGGCCTCAACTCAGGCAGCAGCAGAGGAGGAGGCAGACACAAGGGGTGTTAAGGAAGTAAGATCTGCTGGTCCTGGTGATTGATGCAAAGGAAGAAGTGTGGAGCGGGAGGTGCCTGGGATGGCTCCCAGGTATCTGGCTTATAACTGTGTGGTGCTCTCAGGCCGGGTGCAGTGGCTCACTCCTGTAATCCCAGCACTTTGGGAGGCCGAGGCAGGCAGATCATGAGGTCAGGAGATCAAGACCATCCTGGCTAAGACGGTGAAACCCCATTTCTACTAAAAATACAAAATATTAGCCAAGTGTGGTGACACACGCCTGTAGTCCCAGCTACTTGGGAGGCTGAGGCAGGAGAATTGCTTGAACCTGGGAGGCAGGGCGGAGGTTGCAGTGAGGTGAGATCATGCCACTGCACTCCGGCCTGGGCAACAGAGCAGGATTCCATCTCAAAAAAAAAAAAAAAAAAAAAGAAAGAAAGAAAATGGTATAGTGTTCTCAAGACAGAAAATGCAGGAGAGTTAGGTTTGCAGTTCCCGTAGCCCATCCAGGTGGAGCTACCCAGTTAACATAAGGCATAAGAGACCGGAACTCAGAGGAATAATCTAGCTGAATCCCTAGATTTAAGAGCGATGAGTATGTAAGTGATACTGAAGCCACAGGACTGGATGAAGTAGTCCAGAGGGAGATGTAAAATGAGAAGATGGTAAAAGATGATGCTTAAGGGAACAACACTTAAGGGGCAGCAAAAGGAGGTGGATGCACGACAGAGAGAAAAAACTAGAGAGGAATAGGGGAGAACCGGGCCGGGCGTCAGCATCAGAGATGGCAGACCTTATCCCAGTCTCTGGCTCCAGCACCATTCACAAGGCCTGGCCCACAGGAAGTCTCAGTGTGCACTTGATGACTTCACTACTGTACCATAACAGCATTTTGCTGTTTTTCTCTCTCTGGCTGCCAGGAAACCCGGTTCAACAGCACCCCTGTTCCAGAACTTCTGGGCATTTTTGGTTGCTCCTGGTAGCAGGTGGGATGCCTTTATTGCTGATAAAATGAACTCTCAACCTTTGACCCAGGGCATAAATTGCCCAGGACCAGAGCTATTTCTCCTGTGTGCTGAGCTGGTCAGAGCAGCCCAGGCCTTTCCCACTGGACCACAATTTTTTGGGATCAGAGCTGTCTACCTCATGATTCTCCCAGTAGACTCTGGCTCTGCCCTGTTGACAGGATGGACTCCTTTATCCTGCCTCTATGGTCAAGGCCCTAAAGGTGCACACAGCCACAGCTGGGGGTCCTCATGTCTGATTCCAAAATGCTTCCTCAATATCATATTCTGTCTCTTGCCCCAAGTTTTTTCCTCCACAATTTAAATTAACTAGTGTAACTTATACAGGAAAGATCTGTTCCCTCCTTTTGGGATTAAAGATAATATAAGCAGTCATAGTTCTCAGAATACCTCCTTTCCCTGGGGCCAAGGGTTTTAAATCCTATTGTCATGGCCCTTGCTTCCAGATGCCTTTCCCAGGTGTCTTGTCAAAAGTAGTTCTCTCTCCTCACTGGCTCCTACAGGGGTCTCCCCACCCTCTGCCCCACCCCAGGCTCCACTCAGCAGCTGGGCGAGACTTCTGAAATTCCCAGCTTGCACCTGTTAAAACCCCACAAGCACACCGTGGTTCTTTCACTGGCCTCCAGTGTCCTGTGTGCTCAGGGCCCATCTCACTTCTCTAGCCCTCCCCTCTTCCTCCAGACACAGTTTTCCCTCCCCACCAGCAAACTCCTTCAGGATCTGCAATCACAAGCAAATAGATCATAAGTAGTTGTAATGATCTCACCGACTCTTCCTACAGATCCACAGTAGAAAGCAAAACTGAAAAATATTTTTTAACCTATTAGAAGGATCCTTTCCAGACCAGCCTGGCCAACATGGCGAAACCCCGTCCCTACTAAAAATACAAAAATTAGCCGGGCATAGTGGCACACGCCTGTAATCCAAGCCACTCAGGAGGCTGAGGCACAAGAATTAGGAGGCGAAGTTTGCAGTGGGTCAACATTGAACCACAGCACTCCAGTCTGAGTGACAGAGGGAGACTCTGTCTAAAAAACAAAAAACTACGAAACAGATCTTACGGCTTAAGTCCATAACGCATCCTATTGCATAATTCCCTAACTTTAGGAAATCTGTTCACTGTGTCCCACCCACTAATGGTGATAACAAGTAACTACAGGTACTTCAATCAATTCCATATTTATCATAAAATACATGGGAGTGACACGTGTACTAATGGTTTGGAATGATGAAAAGGAAGGGCATTTACAAACTTGATGTGTCATCCATTCGCTTATTCAACCAATGCAAGCCTACTAGGTGCCAGGCATAGTACCAAACTCCACATCCCATGTCCAGACTGCCAAGCCACCCTCCACCAGGTCTGAAGGAACCAATTCTGCGAAGTGTGAGGCCAGTGAGGCCACTTAATGTAGCTTTGATCTCTCCTCTGCTCTCAGCCTCCTCCCCTCTCATCCAACATTCTCCTCACCCTTACCCCAAACCATTCCAAAGATGCCTCAGGGGCCCCTACTGAAGAAACGAAGACTCCCTCATGTCCCCAGCCTCATCAGGTCCCGTTCCTGCACCTTTTCTCCTGATAGCTGGGCTTTCCCTGAGGACACTGTCCTCTGAGTATGACTCTGGGGTAGAGGCTGATCAGTCTCCCTCACCCATAACATCAGGGTCACACTGTCCTGGAAAACCAATACCCCACATTCTTGTGTCAAAACCGCTGTTCCTTTGAGAACCATCCCTCTGGCTTCTCCACTTCCTACTCTTCCCCGTGGCCATCAGTGGTAACTCTGGCTGCTCCCCCGGTTTCCCGAAGCCTTCTCTCTGGGTCCTGCTTGCCTCCTGAGTGACTTCAGCATCCCACACACAACCCAGCCAAGACCCAAGCTTTCCATTTCCTTGAATTTATCACCATTACCATCATCTCCATTCCATTTCAACCACTGACTCAAGGCAGGTATCCCAAAAGCAGATCCTGGATAAGACTTCATATGTGAGTTATTTATTTAGGAGATGCTTCCAGAGAAACCATGACGGAGTGGATGATACAAACTCTTAGGATGGCCAGGTGCAGTGGCTCACACTTGTCATCCCAGCACTTAGTGGGGCTGAGGTGGGCAGATCACCTGCGATCAGGAGTTTGATGGCGAAACCCCATCTCTACTAAAAATAAAAATAAAATAAAAAGCCAGATGTAGTGGTGCAGCTACTTGGATAGCTGAGGCTGGAGAATGGCTTGAACCTAGGAGGCGGAGGTTGGAGTGAGCTGAGATTGTTCCACTGCATTCCAGCCTGGGCAACAGAGGGAGATTCCTTCTCCCCAAAAATAACCTCCTAGGAACATCCTGAGAAGAGGCTCCAGTAGACCGAGGAGAGTCCTCTGAAAAAGGCTGTAGGTACAGGCCAGAAGGGGAGAAGCCCCAGAAGCTGGAGAACAGGTACGCAGGACAAAACAGTTCTGGGTGACCCTGCCACAGCTCCGACAGCTCCCACTACAACTGAGTCTCCCTATGGCCATACCCTAAACCTTGTTATCACAAGAACTGTCTCTTAAAGAAGCTGTGATTGCTATGCTCTGATTTTTTGTGTCCTTCAAAATTCACACACTGAAATCTAACCCCCAATGTGATATGACTAGCAGGTGGAGACTTTGGGGGGTGATTAGACGGTGAGGGCTGAGCCCTCGTGAACTGGATTCATGCCCTTATGAATGAGAACCCAGAGAGATCTCTTGGTCCTTCCACCGAGTGAGGACACAGCAGGAAGACAGCTGTCTGTAAACCAGGCAGCAGATCCTTATCAGACACTGAGTCTGCCTTGATATCTTGATCTTCCCAGCCTCCAGAATCATGAGAAATAAATTTCTGTTGTGCAAAAACTTCTCATCTATGGTATTTCATTATAGCAGCCCAGAGGGACATGAAGACACTGACTTGAGCATTTTCCCCTTCCAGCTTGCTACCCCCATTTCTCCCTCATCATACCCTGCCTCTCCTTTCTCCTGCCATCATCCCCTCCCCGTGTTCGCTTTCTCTTCCCCATTCAGCTTGGATCCCACATTCAACACTGCTCTTTGGCTAACAGACTCAACTTCCTCCCCTTTTGCCTTTTCCTGGAGTTACCTGGAAATATCCCTCTATATTATTCCTTCTCTCTGCTCAGAGTCACAGGCTGCTGAACACTGCTAGAGAAACCAGGCAGCCTCACAGATCACTATCACACTAAGTCCACCGTTTCCTTCTTCAAACGGTCCTTGATGCCCCATGGCAGTCCTGCCTTCTTTCTCTGCTCGGTGACAGCCGTCATGATAAATGTCATGAAGACATTCAGGTATACCTCCCTATAAACAAACCCGAGATCGTATACAGAAATCCTACAAAAGGATTTTTCAAAGAAAGCCTTTAAACAGCAGTCTGTGTGCATCTAACACGGAGTATCATATGTATATATTTTTAAGCCATTTATGTAGAGTGAGGTTTGCCCTCACTGTTGCCTTTCCCCAGGTCACTGACATGGAGGCTCCACACCCCAGCACACCGTGCTTTGCAAGCAGCCTCAGCCATCTCCATTTGTCAACGTAGCTGCTGAGTGCTCCTGGTTCATTTCAAAGTCACCAAAACCTCCTACACAAAACTTACATGGAAAAAAAAATTTGGATGGTTCTTCCTTCACTGCGCCTACTAAGTCAAAAAAAAATAAACAAGATCCATCAAAGGGAGAAAACAGTTTCTACAAAATACCCTACCAAACAGCTTTGCATTTAAGCATCACCCCCTGAGTAATTTCCTCTGAAGAGGCTCCTCTAATGCATATCAGTGCTGCTGACATCGGCAACATTTCTGTGATTTACTGCAACTGCATCTATCAGAGGCTGGGAGTGGGCGCAGGTTAGAGGAAGAGAGAAATCTAAAACGGAAAAGGATACCCGCATTATTCCTCATGGGTCTAGTGAGACAGCAATGTAGAAAACCTACAAATTCATTCATCTGAAGACTAGGAGGTGTTTTTGAAATATTCATAACTCTGATTAGTGAAGTCTTTGAGGAATCTACAGACTTACTTAAAAAATGGGGAAGTCGATTCTCTTCAATAAAACAGCTCGGTGTCTTCCAAGTAACACCTAGGTTTGGGGTATAAAATGTGGCCGAATGAAGGCAAGAGTCAATGCTGCCAGAGAAATCTTACAGCTGAATCAACATTCTGAGGAATTTTCCATACCAAAGAGCTACTGAGCATAGGCTGAACCTGCCAGTTAGACAAACACCTCACTCCACTCCCCAAAATACTTTTCCTCATTAGTAATTTCTCCCACTAGAAGGTAAGTTCCTCCAGATGCCCCTTGAAGGTGAACCCTTTCATCTCTGAATTTTCCATGGTCCCAATCCCAGTGTACACAAAGAGCTCAATTAATGTTCATGGCATGAATTTGACAAATGTTTGCTGAGGGCCTATTGTGCTTGGGGCACCGGGATGCCAAGGTGATGAAGAGAATCCCTGCTGTCCAGGAATGGATGAACTGAGTGTGGGCGAGAGCTAACAGTACCTAAACCTCCACCCCTATGGAATTCAGAAGAGGCCCAGCACTCAAGGGCTAGAGAAGGCATTCAAAAGCTCAGAGAGCAAACAGACCCTTGCATAAATCATATGGAACTCTGCCAAACTGCTATACTGGTACAGAAGTTGGCTTCAGCATCATTTTCAAGGATTAATCCCATCTTCCCCATATGAGAAGTGTCCCTTTCCTAGACACTCAGAACCAAACCTATTACCAAAGCAGAATCTCCACATGATGGGTTAGTCACAATTAAGCAGTCATGTAAACATACTTCCATTCAAGAAAATCCCCAGTTATAAAATCATGGGACACTATTTAAAAATCTAAGACAAATTAGATACTGAATCCTGGCACATAGTAGAGTTCCCTAAATTCATGTGGAATGAAAGTACCACATGCATGCTTGCCATGTGAGTGAATGTTAAGTGTTGGTGCAAGATCTTTGTAAATAGCAAAGATTGAGGGGAAACACAAGATAAAAACCATTTTCCTAGATAGTTCAAACTAACCTTTGGGTTCAAGGAACAGAGTCTTCATAGAAAATTCTAGCTGATATTTAATTCATCAATACACTTTGGATTCAACCCATACTTAATTACTTGGAAATTGCCTCTGAAGAGGTCACTGGAAACAGTCTTGTGGTTATGCTTCCTCCACCTCACAGAAAGGAGAAGAAACTAAGGCTTAAAAACTAGTATAACCATCCTGGTGCAATGGCTCACGCCTTTAATCCCAGCACTTTGGGAGGCTGAGGTGGGTGGATCACGTGAGGTCAGGAGTTCAAGACCAGCTTGGTTAACATGGTGAAACCCCATCTCTACTAAAAATACAAAAATTCACAAATAATAAAAACTCAGGCTGGGCATGGTAGCTCACACCTATAATCCGAGCACTTTGGGAGGCCAAGGCGGATGCATCACCCGAGGTCAGAAGTTCAAGACCAGCCTGGCCAACATGCCTAAATCCCGTCTCAACTAAAAATACAAAAAAATTAGCTGGTTGTGGTGGCAGGCTCCTGTAATCCCAGCTTCTTCAGGAGGCTGAGGCAGGAGAATCACTTGAACCTGGGAGGCAGAGGTTGCAGTGAGCCAAGATCACACCATTGCACTCTAGCCTATTCAACAAGAGCAAAACTCTGTCTCAAAAAAAAACTGGTAGAAAATGATCAGCGTGACTATCTTGGAATTTGTGGGCATGTCGAAGAGTTCTCTGTCACTGGGAGATTTTTAATGGCCCCTCAGAAGCCAGTTTCACCTGGGCGGCCATAACTGAGAGGTGCCAAATTCAAAGGCATATGGGGTAAGTACCTGTTCCACAAGCACACCCAGAAGTGCCACACCACTCAGTTCACTGAGAACCTCCCATGAGACCCAATCCACGGTGTTCTCTAAGTTGTACCACAGTACTGGGGTAGTTAGTTTCTTTCCATTCAGGTACCAAAAGCTGCTAATTCTACCCACAGCACATAATGCAGTTTCTATCAAACCAGCCTTTGATGAGGACCTACTGTGTGCTCAGCTTACAGCCTCTATGATATCACACTCTCAAAGCTTTCCTCCACCCTCTTGTTGGGTCTTTTAAAATCCATTCTGTAGATTCTTCTTCTTCTGCCCAAACACTGGACTTTTGTGGGTTCCTTCCTGGACCCCTTTTGTTCTATTTCCTCTCCCTCTATAATCTCTGCCCACTTGCTGATGGCTCCCAGGTCTGTACACCCAGGCCTAAAATGTCCTTGGAACTCCAGCATCACACACCCAGTTGCCTACTATTGAGTATTATTTGGATAATTCAGGTGCATCTCATGCTTAGTAAGTGTAAATTACACTTGATAGCTGACCCAACCAAAAAGAAAGTCTCACCTCCCAGAATGATAGTATTGTTCACCCAATCTGCTCAAGCCAAATAGGCAGGATCCTGGGAGGCAGCCCTACTTTCTCTTGTCCCTTCCCTCCCCAATAGTTTGCTCATTTCTACCTCCAAAATAGACCTGGAAACAATCCACTTCCCTCTGTCTCCCTTACCTTCCCTCCAGGCGACCTGCTCCCTCCTAGGCTCCAGCCATAGCCTTCTCTCAGGTCTCCTCACTTCCCACTCTCACCCACTCCCCACCCACTTCCACAGAGCAGTCAGAAGAATCTTTTCAAAACCTAAATCCTCTCCCATTCCTCCTTGCTCAAACTTTTCAGAGCCTCTCACCATTGCATCTAGAATAAAATGCAAGTACCTTATCATGGCTTCCAAGGTCTGAGAGTAGAGCCTCTGTCCCCCCTCCAATTTCACCTCACAACATGTTCCTTTTCCCTCTGGACTCCAGTTTTCATTCAGTTCCATTCAATTGGACTTGCCACTTACACAGTGGCAAACCACTGGTGTAAGTCCAAGAGCCCAAAAGCTAAAGAACTTGGAGTCTGATGTGGGAGGGCAGGAAGCTTCCAGCACGGGAGAAAGATGAAAGCTGGAAGACTCAGCGGGTCTGCGCATTCCACCTTCTTCTGCCATGCGGGCAGCCAAGGGGATGGTGCCCACCCAGATTAAGGGTGAGTCTGCCTGTCACAGTCCACTGGCTCAAATGCTAATCTCCCTTCAACACCCTCACAGACACACCCAGAAACAACACTTTGCATTCTTCAATTCAATCAAGTTGACGATATTAACCATCACAATGACTTAACTTCTCCACTGTTCATGCTCTCAGCTAGAAAATGGGTATGATAAAGCAACTGCTTCACTGTATTGTACAAATTAAATCTGTAATACACATAGGGTGCTTAGAATATTGACTCTCTAGTAAGAGTTTAATAATCGCTAGTTGTAATTAATAAAGTCTACAAACTGGAACACGTGTTCCTGAACATTGAATGCAATGCCAACTAAATAAGTTTGCATTAAACTCATTTTGTGTCTTGTTTTGAATAGTGTTTGTTTGTTTGTTTGTTTTTGAGATGGAGTCTCCCTCTATCACCCAGGCTGGAGTGCAATGGCATGATCTCAGCTCACTGCAACCTCCACCTCCCAGATTCAAGCAATTCTCATGCCTCAGCCTCCCAACTAGCTTGGTATTACAGGCGCACACCATCATACCCGGCTAATTTTTGTATTTTTAGTAGAGATGGCATTTCACCATGTTGGCCAGGGTAGTCTAGAACTCCTGACCTCAAGTGATCTGCTCTTGACCTCCCAAAGTGCTGGGATTACAGGTCTGAGCCACCACACCTGGCCTGAATAGTTTTATTTTAACTATCATTAGGGATTGTGAGTGGCCTCTGTCTCTCCAGAGACTAGTTAATTGAAAGCCACCTGTATTTGTCTTCACCTTTTAGCATGCCAAATTCTTGTGGCATCTCAATATGCCCCGCAGCAATTAGCACAGGATCTTGCACAGAATCAAGATTCAATCAGTGCCCATTAAATGAGTGAAGGCTTAGCTGTTCTAGGGAGTCAATCTTTGAATTTCAATACAACTTAGGTTAAGAGTACCCAAGTCCTTTAATAAATAAAAGAGATCCTGATTTTAGAGCATGTCCAAATTTAGATGTGTACTGGATTCTTTAAGCCAGACAGGCTCATAGACTGTATTTACCAAAACTAGCCACAAGAATATCTCCTATTCCACATACTCCTTACTACGTGACTTTAATATTCCCCCCATGAGAACATAGAACCTATGCTCTCTCTCCTTGAGTCTGGACAGGCTTGTGACTAAAGCAGAAGTGACACTATGTGACCTCCAATGCTAAATAATGGAAGGCCACACCACTTCTTCCTGGTTCTTTTGGGATGCTCACTCTTGTGATCCACCTGCCACACTGTGAGGAAGCTCAAACTAACCCATGTGGAAAAACTCATTAATCACGTACAGATGTTTCAGACAACAGCCATGCTGAAATCTCAGCCAAGAGCCAGAATCAACCACCAGTCACAAAAGCTGAGATATCTCCAGTTGATTTCAGCCCCTATCCCCTAATCCCCACAAACACCTGTAGATTTCCCAGGTGAGGCACATCTTCCCAGGTGAGGCCCCAGACATCGTAGAATAGAGACAAGCCATCCTCTCTGTGTCCTGCATGAATCCCTGAAGCACAGAATCTGAGCATAATAAAATGCTTGTTTTATGCCATTAAGTTGGGATGGTTTGTTATGCAGCAATAGGAAGAGAAACAGCCTTTCATCTACATTGTGATAGAGGAATTGCTCACGAAAAGGAAATATGGCAAACACCAGGAACGGAACCCAAGCATCCTACACACTGACTAATACACAAGTTAAAACAAGAGTCTAAAGCAACACTCTTGTTATAACACACTGGATTAGTCCATTTTCACGCTGCTGATAAAGACATACCTAAGACTGGGTAATTTATAAAGAAAAAGAGATTTAACGGACTCACAGTTCCATCTGGCTGGGAAGTCCTCACAACTACGGCAGAAGGTGAAAGGCATATCTTACATGGCAGCAGGCAAGAGAGAATGAGAATCAAGTGAAAGAGGAAACCCCTTATAAAACCATCAGATCTCGTGAAGCTTATTCACTACCACGAGAACAGAATGGTGGAACTGCCCCCATGATTCAATTATCTCCCACCAGGTCCCTCCCACAACACGTGGGAATTACAGGAGCTACAATTCAAGATGAGATTTGGATGGGGACACAGCCGAACCTTATCACATACCCTACTCTTCCATCTATTGAAGTGAACCCTATGGAGAAAATATAATAGTAACATTAAAATTGCTCATTTATTGTTTATTACATACTAGGCACTACTCCAAGTGCTTTACATGCATTAACTCATTTAAATGTCAAAATAATTTTATGATCAAGGCATTATTATTACTGCATTTTACAGATGCACAAACAAAGCACAGAACATGCCACTAAGAAGAGACGGGGCCAGGACTTGAACCTAACAATCTGGCTCCAGAGTGCCTAATCTGACACAGGACACTAGATGCTTCTCAAGCCTTATGCCCTGTGAAAAATAATGTATGTAAAGCAGCTAGAACAGTGTTTGGCATTGTTTCCTTCCTTCCCCAACATTGATGCTACCATCAATTATCATCAATTAGATTGCCCTAAGTTCTTTTTTTATTATTATTTCCATAGGTTTTGGGGGAAGAGCTGGTGTTTGGTTACATGACTAAGTTCTTCAGTGGCTTGTGAGATTTTGGTCCATGCATCACCTGAACAGTATACAATGTACCCAATTTGTTGTCTTTTATCCCTCACCATCCCCCACCCATTTCCTCAAGTCTCCAAAGTCCAGTGTATTATTCTTATGCCTTTGCATCCTCATAGCTTAGCTCCCACTTATGAGTGAGAACACGTGATGTTTGGTTTTCCATCCCTGAGTTACTTGACTTAGAATAATGATCTCCAGTTCCATCCAGGTTGCTGCAAATGCCATTATTTCATTCCTTTTCTTTATCCACTCATTGATTGGTGGGCATTTGGGCTAGTTCCAAATTTTTGCAATTGCGAATTGTGCTTCTATAAACATGCATGTGCAAGTATCTTTTTCGTATAATGACTTCTTTTCCTCTGGGTTATGCACCCAGGAGTGAGACTGATGGATCAAATGGTAGTTCTACTTTTAGTTCTTTAAGGAATCTCCACACTGTTTTCCATAGTGGTTGTACTAGTTTACATTTCCACCAGCAGTATAGAAGTGTTCCCTTTTCACAGCATCTCTGCTAACATCTATTTTTTGATTTTCTGGTTATGACCATACTTGCAGGGGGTAAGGTGATATCACTTTGTGGTTTTGATTTGCATATCCCTGATCATTAGCAATGTTGAGCATTTTTTCAGATGTTTTTTGGCCATTTGTATTAGATTGCCACAAGTTCTAAAGCAAAAAGCATGTCCCTTCTAAAGCAAAATCCACAGCTCTAATGTTTTGTTTCACTCATTGTCCATTATTAATTTTTACACTTAGTTGTCCAATTAGTTGCTTGTCCAACTAGCAAATTAGACATGCTTCAAAGAGAAATCTTGTCTTCACTCATGCACACTCACATCCCAAATCTGCCTCTTCCTCTAGACTTATGCATCTCAATTCATGGTACTGCTATTCATCCAGGGCTTGGTCAAAAAGCCCAGAATAGTTTGTGGCTCCACACTGCCCTAACGCCCTAATGCCCACAGCTAATCCAGCCAACTCTACCTTCCAAATACATCCTGATTTCCACCACATTTTTCATTCCCACCTCAACCAGCCCATTAGCCATAGTGGTTTCTGCACAACAGTGTCCTAACCACCCAGCCAAAATGTAAATTCGATCCCTCCAATGCCCGCTAAAAACCCTCCAGAGGGTTCCCACTACACTCCCAGGAACCTCTAAACTCCTGTCCTTAGATCTCCAAATTCTGGCCACTACCCACTTCTCCACTTTCCTCTCCTACCATCTGTCCCTCAATACCATCCAGCCACACTGGTCTCATTTGTTCAAGTTAGCTTCAGTCTCAGAACAGAATGGGGGAAGCACAGAATCTCCAGTCTCAGAACAGAATGGGGGAAGCACATATGTTGTTCCCTCGACCTGGAACATTGTTGCCCAGACCCCTGCAGAGTAGCTTCCTCTCGGTGCTCAGAGTTCTACTCAATGCTACTTCCTCAGCGAGGACTTCCTTCCTCACCACCCACTGCAGAAGGGCCATTCTCTCCTCCAATCTCTCCCGAGCCCACTGCCTTGCTTGATTTCCTCACAGCAACTTAGTGCTAGCTGAGATTGCATTCTGTACTGATTTGCCCATTCCCTGTGTGTCTCCCTCATTAGAATATAAACTTCCCATCTAGAATATATGATTTAATCCATTTTGCTCATTGCTGCATTCCAGCACCTTGATCTATGTCTGCTACCTAATAGATGCTCAATAAATATCTGTCCAGTAAAATTAATGAATCCTCTTCCCAAATCCCTGGCAGTCAGAGATTAATAATTATTCACCTTTGTATCCCAAATTCCAAGACTAATTTCTATCCCATAGTAGGTAGTGAAAGAAAGAAAGACATAGGGAGGAAGGGAAGGAGGGAGGAAGAAGAAAGAAAAGAAAGAAAAAGGAGGGTTGAAGGAAGGAGAGAAGAGCTAGAAAGGAAGAAAGGACAGCTATGACATGTTGTTGAATTTTTCTGATTGTGGATTTTATAGAAGTAAAGTCTTACAACTCTCCAGCAGTTAAGTAAAATGTACTATGCATTTTGTCAATCATTATTACTGAAAACAATTACTCAGAATCAAATCTGTCCTAAAATATCCATGATGTATGGACACCCTGACTCTATCTGCCATAATTGAACAAATATTTTTCTAGTGGCCAATCTGTGAGTGTGTCTAACATGTAATGTCTCCTAAGACTGGGTACAGCCAAAGTGGTGGAGAGAGAGGTTATCCCAGGAAAAACTGAGACTGTATAAATCTGAACCCTAACCTGCATACAGCCCCAGCATGCATAGCCCCATCACAACCTGGTGCAGGGGAAGGAGATGTGGCAGAAGAAGAGTCGGCACTTCCTCCTTTGGCACTCCCTTGTGCCCCATGGCACACTCTGGGCAGACCCTCTCCATAACCTTCCCCCTCCTCTCCTGGTCATCCTCAACCCAGCTCCTGGGTTGGTCTCATTATAAATAACACCATTCAATCTACAGTCCAATCTTCACCCTACCTCTGCCCTCCACGTAAAAATGTCCATTTCCCTAAAGGAAATCCTGGCGAAGATCAAGAGTAACATGGCCTTTAGGATTCAAATGCTGCCTTTTCTTTCTGACTCATCCGAACGTACCATCTTCTTTGCCTTTTGAAATCACCAGGTGGTTTTTCTATTAATCATGAAAGAGGACTCTCACTGGGCTTCTTCTCTTTCTTTCACACAGTTCTTCAGGCTGAAGCAGTGCCCCATTAGCGTGGTGTAAGTGATCTTGGGGAGAATTCAGTTTGATGGAATTAATCATGCCCTCACGCAGTTTTTTAGATTCACTTGAAGACAAGGCAATATGTGCCCAAGTGCCAGGTCCATGAACTTGCAGCTTTGGGCCATGGCAGAAATGGGAGCAATGTTGCATCAGCCTCTCCTGGGAGCTCTGCCCACTGTCCCCAATCATAGCCACTTGTGTGATCTGCTCCTCTTAAGCTGGCCAGTCTTTAGCTACACACGAAGATAAGAAGAAAGCCTGAGAGTATACCCACCCATCTTTTAAGGGGGGCAGTGATTAATCGTTCAAGCTTAGAATCAGATAGACTTGAGCTTATGTCCTTAACTATGTGGCCTTGAGAAAATATTCGCTCTCTAAGCCTCAGTGTTCTTATCCTTAAAATGGAAATTATACCTTTCCCTTAGTGCCATGGTGAGATTTCAGCAAGAAAATTCACTGAAGTGCCTGGCACATAGTAAATACTCTGTAAATGTCAACTACCGTGATTATTACTAAGGGCATCATCCTCGTGTATCTATTTTGGCATAAGCATTGTGTCTTATTCACCTTGTTTGCCCAGCATAAAGCAGAGGCACACTGTATATATTTACAGGACAACTTTTAAAATAATTGGTTGGATCGGCAGAATAATGGTTGGTCCCCCAAAGATGCCCATGTCCTGATCCCTAGAACCTGTGAGCATATTACTCTACTACTTTACAAGGCAAAGGGATTTTGCTGATATAATTAAGTTAAGGATTTTGAGATGGGAAGATGATCCTGGATTATCTGGGTGGCCCCAACTTAATAACAAGGGTCCTTATAAGGGGGAGGCAGGAAGGCCAGAGAGAGGAGGGATATAAGGACAGATGCAAAGGTTACAGGGATGCAGCCATGAACCAAGAAACATAAGCAACCTTTAAAAGCTGGAAATGGCAAGGGAAGGATTCTCCTAAAGGCCCCAGAAGGAACTCAGCCCTGTGGACGCCTTGATTTTAGCCCCATATGACCCACTTAGGGAGTCTAACATGCAGAATGATGTGGTAAACTTGTGTTGTTTTAAGCCATGCAGTTTGTGCAACTTGTTATAGGAGCAAAAGAAAACTAAGGTAATCAGCGACACGTTCTAGGTGCTTGCTCTGTGCCAGGCACTGTGTATATTTCACATGAATGCCCTCACTAAGCCTCACCGCAGACCAGGATGGAGATTTCACTCTTGCTCCAACTTTACAGATGGAGAAATTGAGACCCAGGGAAGTTAGGTAATTTGCCCAAAGCCTCAAAACTTGTAACGGATGGAATGAGACTGACCTCCTAAGCACTCTACTATGTGCAAAGATAAAAACTTGCGGATAAAAAACCTTTTGAGAAAATTCTTGCCAATGTCCCTATAAGATACAAAGCCCTAAGCTAACATGGCCACAAGAAAACAACAAAATTGTTTCCGCAGGTCGTGCAGTTGCTAGATTCAGAGCCAGAAGACCTTTTCATTCACACACACACACACACACACACACACACACACACATACACACACACACACACAGCAAAAAAAAAAAAAAAAAAGCATCCACTATGCAAGTTGTGCAGAA